ACCTATAATGGTCGAAAAATTTACTCATTCTTAGGCATACCATATGCAAGTCCTCCAGTTCAAAATAATCGATTTAAAGTATGTTAACTGTTAAGAAACATTTATTAAATTTATAGACAATTGAATTAAAATTATATTGAGTATTATTTTTACAGGAACCACAACCCGTACAGCCTTGGTTGGGAGTGTGGAACGCCACCGTTCCTGGAAGTGCCTGTTTAGGAATAGATTTTGGATCTGATTTTAAAATTATTGGTCAGGAAGATTGTTTATTTCTCAACGTTTATACACCTACGGTAATTTACATGTACGATATGTACATTTCTCTTCGAGTACAAGCGTTTGCTTATTTTTTTTACAGTTAACAACTAACAGCTATATTTTAAGTAAAAACAATTAATAAAGCTCTCCCTACTGAATTCCTGGTATCCAAATGCATTTTAATACAACTCATAAACCATAATTCCATATTGTTCATTATAAAAATAATTATTTAGAAACCTTTATTTTTGGTATCTACCTACTTATTTTTTAATATTGGCTTCTATTAATCTATATTAAACCATAATATTATGTTGATATGTGTTAAAATTAGCAAGTATGAATTGACTTTCAACAAAACCGAGGTTATAACTATATGAAACTGTAAGTTATGGAAGGAAGGATGAACTGACACCGTAGGAATATAAAGTGCTCTAAGCTTATGTTTTGAAACCTAAAAGTCTATTTACCAAATAATACTTGATAGTCTTTTACGATTCAAGGCAGATGAAAATAATAGAATGAGCTGCCTATTTTAGCATAACTGATATCAATTTCTTATGTTAAACAGCTTCCACAAGAGAATACGCCAGGTGATTTAATGAACGTAGTAGTGCACATACATGGAGGTGCGTTCATTGGTGGCGAAGGCATTTACTATGGTCCGCACTATCTTTTGGACAGCAAGGATTTCGTTTACGTATCGATAAATTACCGTTTGGGAGTATTAGGATTTGCTTCCACCGGCGATAGTGTTTTGCCTGGAAATAACGGATTGAAAGACCAAGTAGCAGCATTGAAATGGATACAACAAAACATCGCGGCATTTGGGGGTGACCCCAACAGCGTCACTATCACCGGCATGTCAGCTGGAGCAAGTTCTGTTCACTATCAATTGATTTCACCAATGTCCAAAGGTATGAGTAAATGCGTTCATCTACAATGTTATTTGAAACTACTAAAAAAAATTATGATTTGTCGTAATCCATACACACATGAATATATGAAGCGGCTAAAGCGATTAAAATTGTGTAGTATGTTATTAGTTAAAATAAGTACCTAGGTTTGTTAAATTGTTCGTGATAATTTATCGGTCATTAGGAGTGGTTAGATAGATCAATTTAATGCTTTTAATATGTATTCTACAAGTCACTGAAAAATGTATCTTTTTTCAATAATTTACTTGGTTGGATCGTAATATTATTCTACGTCTTATTACCTGAAAATATAGGCAAGTTTAAACTGCCATTCGTATTAAAACTAGTGAAATAATAATATGAAGATTATGTATTATTATCCTACTGGTCCTATAACTAACCTAATCTGGTCTAACATGTCCGTAAAACAGCCAGTACACGTTCATCAAATCACGAACTGCTTCGTTAGTTCTATTATTTGAGAGAATTTTCGAATATTTTAAATTTAAATGGTTACAACATTGTTTGTGTTTTTCATTATTTTAATTTTGGGGAAAATTATGATTATTTTTAAAATGTTAAGCTGCACATAAATAATATACACTTTTGAGTTATAACTATGAAGTATAAAAACATTTTTACATTTTAAGGTTTATTTAACAGAGCAATTCTTCAAAGTGGAAGTGCTTTTTGTCATTGGTCGTATACTGAAAACGTTTCTCAAAAAACAAAGTATATTGCAAGCTTGCTGGGATGTCCAACGAATAATTCAGTAGAAATCGTTGAATGCCTTCGTTCTAGACCAGCAAAGGATATTGCAAATTCATTAATAAACTACATGGTAAATATTTCGTAGGTTATTAAATTGTGAATTTACTCATTCTTAAATTGTATTTTATTCATAATGTATAAAGCCATGGAAACTCAGTCCTTTTACACCATTCGGTCCAACTGTTGAAGTAGCTGGATACGAGAAGTTTTTACCTGATATTCCAGAAAAACTCGTTCCACATGACATTCCTGTTCTGATCAGTACTGCTCAAGCTGAGGGTCTTGTTTTTGCAACATATATTGGCCTAGAAAATGGCTTTAATGAACTTAACAATAATTGGAATGAATATTTACCACATCTTCTTGATTATAATTATACGATTTCAAACGAAAATCTGAGATCCAGAACTGCCCATGATATAAAACAGTTTTACTTTGGTGACAAACCAATATCAAAAGAAACCAAAAGCAATCTTTCAAAAGTAAGTTTATACTATATGTACCTAATATTTTAAAAATAGTTTAAAAAAATTTTTAAGGTTTAAAATTTAAATCAATGTATAATGCCTGTCTAATTTAATTACTGTTAAAGTATAATCAATAGGGCTGTGAATTTTTAGGAAAGTGCATTTTTTTTTATGATTGTGAAACGTAGCTTTGGAAGTATATAATATGAATTATGTAACTATGAATACATTTATGAAACAAGTTACACAAAATGCATTTATATGCGGTAATACAACTTATTACTCTCTACTTATTGTTACGAATTTGTGAGGTTTAAGAATATTGGTATAGGTAGTTACTTATCATAGTGTATGTAATTGATTCGAATAAAAATGTTTCTTATGGTCGTATTTTTTTACCATTGTTACGTATTGTGGCCAATGAAAAAAAATTGCAAACAAAAAATAACAGAAGGAGAATATACACAGAGTGATTCACCAAACATGCTCACTTTCTTTTAGATTCTGAGCTGGGTGATGAAAATATTGATTTTACAATGATGAGTGTTTCTATATTTATTTTTGTATTTTTATTGGTGTTTGTCATCACGGTTTCGAGCAGTGAAAGAGCTCAATTAAATATTAAGTCACATTTTCGAAAAATAATTGTTAATACATAGTTCTTTGCTGCATATATTGTTTTATATTTTGAAAACTTGAAAGTCACATTTTCGAAAAATATTTTTTTTTATACATATTTCTCTAATTTTTTAATGTATGGTTGCACTCCAATACCATTGCACGAGTTTTTTTACTGAATTTAATGATAATATTAATAGATAATATCAACATTCTTCAGATGATTTCAGATAGAACATTTGGATATGCTGCGAGTAAGGCAGCTCAGCACATTGCTGCAAAGAATACGGCACCTGTATATTTTTATGAGTTTGGCTACGGTGGTAATTACTCTTCCACAGGTTTTTTCGATCCAAAATCATATTCCCGAGGATCAAGTAAATAACATATTTTAAATAAATACTTTTTTATGTGTATAGAATTTGTTTAATTCATTATAACTAATAAACAATTAGGCCCGACTCATGGCGATGAAACCAGCTATGTATTAAAAATGGATGGTTTCTACGTTTACGACAATGAAGAAGATAGAAAGATGATCAAAACTATGGTTAATATTTGGGCAACCTTTATTAAAACTGGGTATAATTAACAAAAACAGACTATAATTAATACGTATTAAAAAAATATAGGTCTCAAATCTTAAACAATAAATATTTTATATTTTTTTATACATTCTAGGATATATTAAATAGTGATTATATTTTTTTTTTTACTTTTATAGAGTACCAGATACTGAAAATTCAGAAATTTGGTTGCCTGTTTCTAAGAATCCAGCAGATCTTTTCAGGTTCACTAAGATTACTCAACAACAAACATTTGAAGCCAGAGAACAATCAAACCATGGCAATTATGAATTTTGGAGTAGCTTACCATTAACAGAATTTTTCGAATTTAATGTGCCAGAAGACATAAAAACTGAATTATAAATATTGAAACATAATAGTATGTACATACACAATAATAGTTTAAATATATATTTTAATATTTATATGAAATATTAAAATTTAAAAGTCACAATCATTTTATAAAAATAAATTGTTTTTACTACCGTATATTGAACATTTTGGTTTTAGATTCCAACGGAAGTAATAAATGTATTTTAAGTTGATGTGTGTTTTAGATTCTGAGCAAAGCGATGAATATATTGATTTTACAATGATGTGTGTTTTTAAATTTTTTTTTTGTTTATTCATTTTTTTGTGTCTGTCATCACGGTTATGAGCAGTTGAAGTGCTTCCGATTTTCTTCAACAGAAACTTTTCTGGTAGGAAAATGAATCTAGTTAGTGCATTCGGATAATCAAAATTCAAAATTCAAAATAATTTTTAAAAGTGACAGGGAAAACAAACAAAAAATTAATTAAAAACAAAAGTTTTTACGCAAAACCTATTTTCGAAAACATCGATTTTGGTTTTAAGGGTAACTTAAGGCATATGAAATGTCGATAAAAACAGTTTTTGGTACCTTACCAATCATTGTAAAATCCAGAATCTAAAATAATAATAATAACTATTGTTTTTATTGTTGTTGTATAAATAATACATTGTATCTACCTAAAAGTATAGGTACTGCACCGATTCACAAGGGTCTGACCATCGAATCTGCAAACACTGTTGATTGTGTTGATGGTGACGAAAAACAGAAATAGAAATTAAAAAATACTTATTCAGCGAATGATCAATTCAAAATATTACAAAAGCTGAAAAAAGTATAGGACATGGTAAAATAAACATTTGGTGTAAATTTCAAATATCTGCGATTCTTCGTTTTTTTGAATTAAAACAAAATAGAAAACCTTAAATATTTACTCTCGTCAAAATTTGAACTTTAAATAACTATAAGCAGAACTGTGCTTATGTGTAATATATTTAAATTGTTTGGTTACAGAACAACTGCTTAACGTTGATTTCAATTTTCAATCGTTATCTCTAAAAGATGTACATTTTATGTATACATTTTCAACTACAAAACAGTTTGGAAATTTTGAATTTAATAAATGTTGTCAAAATTTGAACTTAGTGTTACGATCTGGGCAGTCTCTGAATTGTCAGAATAACTAGTCTTTCAGCGGGCGCTTTATATGGATATACCTATTACAGACACTTAACATGAGAGTGATGACAACTTTGACAACTTGTTACACTACTATGATAATTGCCAATTGGATACCAAATTGCCATTCAAGACGGTACTTCAATCTAGGATATTTTATAATGTTATTACTTATTATCAATACGTTAACCGGTAAGTGAATTAATATTATTCTTAAATTATCAGTGATACTGTAAAAATGTTAAACATACTTAATACTTATGTAAAATTGGTTTTTTTTTTGACACCGAATTACAACAAAATGACAAAAATCTTTATTCTTTGTGTTAGTGTGTAATCTTGTCCAAATTTTAACTTAAAATTCTGTACAAAAAAACTGTCATTATACATTTTTTAGAATTTTTAGTTACGGAAAAATCTGCCTAAGTGGAAAATTGCTTTAAATTTTTAATCCTTAGGTATACAAATTGAAAACTTTATAAGTTTTTAACAACAAAATCATTTTTCAATTTGATAAATGTTGCCAAAATTTGAACTTTAAATGCTTATAAAAAAAATTGTACAAATTTATTTTTAATGTTTTTCAAGTGCTAATGTAACAATATACCTATCAAGAGTCTTGTATTAAATGTTCATGCTTTTCGACCCTAAATTTCAAGTGTCTACAGTAATTTATTTTTGAACTACAACAAAATAAGAAAATCACTACATGAGAAATTGACTAAATATCCAATGTTGTAACATTTTTAACTTTGAATTCTTATGAAAAATTATTGTCGATTTAACCTTTAAGTGACTGGAAAGGTAAGTGGGTAACTTTTTAGTTTTTAAATTTATTTTCCTTTAAATTTTAAAATGCATGTTTTGTAATTCCGTGACATATTTCTAACTAATAGCATGAACAGCTTATAAAATATATCTTTAAAGTTTAAATTGAAACTTTTTTTTAGTATCGAACATTAAAAAAATTAAAAAAGAAGAAAAAAATTTGGTGCAGGTGAAAAAGTTCTTGTACAAGACATATTTAAAAATAAATGGTTACCAGCAGTCATTGTAAAAAAAACCGATTTTTCAAGATCTTCAATTATTAAAAACGAAAATGGCAGATTGGTGTATTGAAACACTGAATTTATTAAGAAAATTGAGGACTATGATGGGTTGAATGAATTCAAAGATGAGAACAATATATTAACTAAAACTGAAAATGAGAATATTAAAACAAAAGCTAGGGATAATTAGCATACAACTAGATCTAGAAGAGGACGTAAAATGAAAAAGAAATAAAATATGGATGACAATGTTTACGTTTACTTATTCATGTTATAAGTCTAGGTTCGAACAAAAGAACGTTTCTTACATTCAAATATAATACATTTTTTTTATTAAACTTTGTATTGTTTATATTTTGTAAACATTTTATTATTAAGCAAAATATGTAGAAATATAGTAAAACATAGTTGTTTTCATAATTAGTGTTATATTTTATGTGTTATTGATATATATAATTGATTTACAATGTTTTTTTTTTTTCAAATTGTAAAATTTGTTAAATTGTTTTGAAAATAGGAGATATTGTATACCTACTTACATTATTATAATTATTATTATCATCAATATGTAACACATTACTTGTTATATTTTTCACAAAATATTATATTCACTTCATTTTAAAAAAAATGAATACAATTAAAACAGTTATTTGCCCAATATTTGTTGTTAATGAATGAATTATTTAATTTAAATACAGTAAAAAGTAGTGAATAAAACAATAATGACAATATATATAACTATAATAAAAAATATCCTGGGTTGACAAACTGTCTCCGCTTAGAATTTTTTTTCGTAAACAATGATATTCAATATATTTTTAATTTCAAATGTCTAAAAATATAAAAAATACTCATAACATACACGAAATTAATTGTTTTGAACTGGAGAACTTGTGTATGGTATGCCTAAGAATAATAATTACATTTTTAGACTACAGTAAAACCTCGATTATCCGAATCTCCGTTATACGAACCCTCTATTATCCGAATTATAATTAGCAGTGTTGGCCAGCGGTATAATTTTAATAATCGATATCTTATTTATTTTTCTGATATCGTATCGCGATATCGGAAAAATACCGATATCGATACCGATTAAAATTTTTATATAATTACAACAAGTTACATTTTATATAATTTAGTTTTTTGTACGTAGCTCTGTCACGTGTCACATGCAAACAAAATCTATTTGTGATGGCCCTAGAAGCGAAACACTTAAAGTGGTGTATCCAGAAATATTTAATGCTAAAGACAAATTGATATAATTGACAAAAAATAAAAATCATACATCATGACGTAACAAATATATTCCACACTTGTGTATAAAATCATACTAAAAAAATTAATCAAATTAAAATATATCTGATATAATTCATATCAAACTTTTCACATATTCCTAAACATACATAAATTTACTGAAATCTAGCAATAGCAAAGCATTGCCGGGCCTGCTGATAAAATTATAAAATTATCAATTAATAACGAAATAAAATCATTACGAGGTCTCACCGTGAGTTAACAACCGGCACTGAATTTAGATTAAATTGTTTAGTGTGTTGAACTATTTCTTTGAAATAGATCACAATAATATACTATAATTTATTATAGATAAAAGTAATAAAAGTGAATATCCGTCAACTTTATTGTTTCGAGCCGATACCGCAATATTTTCTATAATCATTTTTAGATAACGATATCGAAATTATTCGGAAAATACCTACGATATCGATATCGTATCGAATTATCGATATCGTTGGCCAACACTAATAATTAGCGTAACCGAACATTCTGTTATCCGAACATGAAAACTCGTATCCGGTAGATCGGCTGTCCGGTTTATCGAATTTATCATGAAAGGCAGCGGAAAAGCGCGTCGCAGCTCATCGTCAAATTAAAATTGATAATTTTGTCAAAAAATATAATAAATTAAATAAATGTATTGTATATCTAATAATGTGTAATGTATTTTTAATAATCTATGTAATGTATTTCTGATAATGTAATGTACGTAATTCTAATAAAATATTAATAATAATAATAAATATTTAACTATAAAAATAATAAATAATTAATATACATAAAATATGTAGCATAATATTATAATTCAGGTCACCAACATTTTACACCGTATCAACAAAAATGCGTTGCCTCTTTTTCGTGTCGATCTTAAACCTGCAATCAATAATAGCGATATTCTCAATCTGGACTCGATGTTACACACCAAAATTAAAATTGAACTTCCAAAAAGAAAACGTGCCCCTCCTCAAAGCAAGTCATGCCAGGCTTACTTTTATACAAGTAACTTTTGTCACCGTAACCCTTGTTGCGTCAAATGCGAAGATAACCACTTCTCCTTCGAATGCTCAAAACCACCTACCACTCCCGCGAAATGCGCATTATGCTCAGCACCACACACAGGTTCCTACAAGGGCTGTCCCGTATACAAAAATACTATCAAAAATCAAGCTAACCTTAAAGCAACTAAATATAATGAACTTCTCAAACATAAGAAACGTTCTCAGCCGATTCAACAAAAATCAAATTACTTAAATCCGAATACTGTTCCTACGCTCCCCCCCTCTCCAAATTCCTCCTCATCTTCCCGAAGCTTCCAATGCCTCTATCACCAATTCCAAAAATAGTTTGTCACATAATAATTTCCCAAATGATAATTTGTTGGCTAAGTTTATCAAATAACTCTCCGCTCTTATAAATCCACTTATTTCTCTCCTCACCACTATTCTACAGAAACAATTTACACCATAATCCAAATTCCATATCCCCCAATCAACTCGCTATATATTATCATTATCAAATTAACTACGCTCTCATTATAATTTACGATTCTATTTCATTACTCTATATCATTAATTAATATTATATAAATTACCAAGACTCTTCTCAATGTATAATTATATATATATATATTTTCCTTATCTATACCATTGTAAATGTATACTAGCTATTGTAACACCACACTGTCATTGTATCTATATCATGCACTTATATAACTGTCGAGCTATAATAGTTTTACTGGAAGCTCATAAAAAAAAAAATTTTAAAAAAATTAAAAAAAAATAATATTAAAAAAACTTTTTATTTTATATTTCCAATATCCGAACTTTTGTGTATCCGAACTAGGAGCGGTTCTAATTAGCTCGGATAATCGAGGTTCTACTGTATTTAATTTATATTCAAATCCACCTGCAATTTCACCCAAATGGACTTGCACTTAGGCGTATAGACCCCGAGTACGTCGAAAATCTTCTGATAAATAAAAACAAATGCAATGCAGTTGCACACATTTATTTCATTTTTAATGGAGATGAATGATTTTGAAACTAAATTATAATCACATTTCTTGAAAATGTAGTTCTGAATTTTAATAGTTTGCGCATAATGAACTTATTTCATAGTTGTGTATATATACATAATAAACAGTATCTGAAAATAATAATTAGTTATATTAGGCCTTGGGCCACTTAAGGTACTTGTACTAATGATATTATTAAATGAGTAATTAGCACACAAATACGGTGACACCGTCATATAGAACTACGAGAATAAATGATTACTCAATCACATTGAATTTACTGAAGTCCAAGTGATATGTGTTATGGTTTAAATTGGTCGGTCATTTTGAAAAGATTTAATTATAATTGAGTGGAATAATCAAAATAACTATAAAATAATATAAAATATTGCGAAGTATTGTCGAGCTTAATAGTTGTTACTAAAAGCTAAATAAAAAAAAAATAAAAAATATGATTTTAGTGAAAATTTAGGTCATATATGTTTGAGAAAAAGTAGGTACTTATTAATGTGACAGTTATATAGATATACTTAACTGTAAATCATAAACTAATTGTAAAACTCTAAAGTGTCAACATTATCCAAGATAAATATTAATATTCTTGATGGTTAATGTCAAAATGTGAACATTTGGCAAGTTACATTAGATGTGAGTGGTGACATATACATTTTAAATCGTAAGAAAAAAGATTTTTTAACATCATGCCAGACATATCTAATTAATATTGTAAGTATTTAATTTTAACAGAAAGATATAAAAATATATATAAGGGTGCCTATTGTGACTTACGAGTACCTAACTGTAATAATAATTGTTCTACTTGAAACTCGATATAATATACTATAAGTACTATACTCTATAAATAAATATTAGTCAATTTCAACTTATTATTTTATTTTATTATGGTTGATGGTAAAAACCTTTTTTTTTTAATAAAAAAGAAGACGTTATTAAAGATTTTATATTATATTATGCAAAAGTATTTATTCCAATATTAAAAATATAAATATTTATTTCTAATAAGTGTTTACATTCTTCATATGAATGTATTATATTTTAATTTTGAGTAGTAAAGGATATATTGAATTTACAATGATGAGTGTGTGTAATTGATTTATTTTATCCATTTGAAAATATTGAAAATTCATGTTCAAGAATTATTTTTTCAATTATTTGAAGATAAAATATTCAGAAAGGACTACATTCTACGGGCGATTGTAAACTCCGCCAGAATATCGGTCAAGATAAAAAGGTAATGATAGGTCTATGGTAAACTCCGCCAGTTTTTTTTTTTACCTGGTCAGTGCGACAGTGCTCACATTGCCACGTGCCTTCTCACATTAAATACGTTTACATCTAGTGTGATGATATATGTCAAAATTGATAAAATATTGTCAAGGTTAGATCGATTCAAATTATTAATAATTTTATCTTCATATTATCTGAAATCAGGATTTCCAATGATGATATCGGCAGTAGGTAAGGTATATGTAAAGACGTATACTTTGACGAACATAATTATTCGTAGTCTGCGTGTCTTTGTGTATATTTTCGATATTTCCGATACTTCTGATATTTGTATATGTCCGATGTCCGAACGAAATATGTCGCAAGAAAGTAATAATGTAAAATTAATTACTGGCCAACGAGGCAATTTATTGGTTGTATTTAAAAATTATAAGTATAATAAAAATATAAAATACGCGTCTGGTGAAATAAAATGGAGGTGCAATAACAAAAATTGTAATGCATTTATAAAAACTGTTGGAGCTGAGCAGTATAATATTACTTTAACACATTTTGCAAATGATACTCACATTACTTCATGCCTTCCAAATTCAATCCAAACACTAAAAAGACAAGAAATAAGTAGTTGTGTAAAGAGGAAAGCGGTGGAAAATATTCGTGATAAACCAGATAAATACATTTCAAAATTAATTTGTAATAAAATAGGTACACGTGTCGTATGCTATCAGAGATTGCATACGACACATTTATAGTCATTTTTTGTAGATGGCATACACCTCTTATAGCTAAGATATTGATATATTTTTTCTTTTAGCTAAAATATTAAACATGGGATTAAAATGTTGTAGTAGTACAATAAAAAACTCTACAAATTTAACTTCAAATGACATGTCATTGGTAAAGAGAAACATGTAAAATGCACGTAGAAAATTAATGCCACCAGTTCCAACTTCGCGATCTGAAGTTATTTCTTCGCTTATTCAGATGGCGCCAAAAACGATCAGAGATGAAAGTTTTTTAATTTTATCTGATTTCGATAGTGAGATCATTATATATAGTTTGTATTACAAATCTAAAATATTTATGTATCTCAGAAACAATTTATGTGGATGGAACGTTTGATTATTGTGTTAAATTTTTTTATCAATTATTTACTTTACATGGCTATTTTAATGGACATAATATACCACTTGTCTTCTGTCTTTCAAAAGATAAAAAACAAGAGACTTACATTAATTGTTTCAAATCAATCTGTGAAAAATGTTTAGAGTTAAATTTAGTTTTTAGTCCAACAGAAATAGTCGTCGATTTTGAATTAGCAATGCATAATGCATGCAACAAAATATGGCCTGATGTTAATCTAGTAGGATGTAGATTTCATATCAGAAAATCATGGTGGAGGGCAATTCAAAACTTTGGACTGAGTGTTGAATATAAAAGTGAATCAGAAATAAGTAAGTGGCTTCATCTATGTTTTGGATTATTATTTTTATCTCCCGAAAAAGTTCCCGATGTATTTGCATTTACTTAAGAAGCAATCATGCCATCCGACCCTAGAGTAACTTAGTTCTCAGATTACCTTGTTGACAATTATATAAGTAATGAAGCAGCATTTTCTCCTCATTTGTGGGCTGATCAAAAGGCAAATTTAAATCGAACAACAAATGCCTGTGAATCCTTTCATAGTCATCTGAGAAATTCATTTTATAAAAGTCATCCGAATGTTCACATTTTTAATAAAGTTCTTATCGAATTTCAAACCCAAACTTATATTAAACTAAATTGCATATCTCAAGTAAATCAACTAAAAAATTCGAAATCAAAAAAAAAAAATGACAGTATTACAGGATGCTATGAATAGGTATACTAATAAAGAAAAACAAGACATAGAATATTTGCAAATTGTATCACATAATTATAGTTTTCATACATGACAATATTTATAACGATTATTTATTTATCTTTTATTATATTTTATTATATTATGTGGACAATTATTAATTATTATTATGAAAAATATGATTTTGGATTATTTATTATGATTTTTTATACTATGATTTAAATATTGATATGATATGATATTGTATTATATTATAATTTTTTTTTAATACTACTATTTGATTTTCTTCATTGGCGGAGTTTACATGAACCTAATTTTACCTGTTTTTTTTTTCTGGCGGAGTTTACAGTAAAAAAAGGGTACTTGTGGCGGAGTTTATATGCGCTCCATTCTACCTCTAATCAGAATCGTTTTCCCATTCATTGATACATAATATTGAACTGAAATTTAACACTTCCATAATATAATTACAGATAGGTACCCACTCGAAACATACATACAGCGTGGTACCCACATGCATAACTTATTTTTTATGTTTCAATGCTAAATTATAAATATTGTGACTCTGAGATATCCAACTAAAATATAGCTCAAGCATTTTGAACAATATAAAATAAAATCTATTTGTTTTACTTATCACTACCTAATAAGTACTTGTAACATGTATTTATGTTTTAAAATATAGATACTTGTTTACGATTTTAACACTGTCAACAGTTAAGCATTTAGTGCAATATAAATACAAATATCATCTGACTGAATATAATACAGTAACCACTGATTGGTTAGATACAGCGATGCTGTACGAAGTGTGTACATACACTGTGTTACTGTCTTACATATTTAAATATTTTATATCATAAATAATTGTACCTGCTAGGTAGCTAATCAAACTAATTATTATTTTCAGATTTTGAATGTATTGAGTCCATGAATGAATTCAGTAAACATTATACAATACTACACTATTATAATTAAAATCTACACATTTCAGAAGTCTTTATAAACTTTAGTTTTAAAATCAACATTCGTCTTAATTAAAAATGAAAAATATTGGTGGAATTTTACTAAACTTCAGTTTATTCATCGGATGCTTTATGACATGTTCGACGTCTAATACGCCTAAAGTGCAAGTCCATTCTGGTGAAATTGCAGGTGGATTTGAATATACCTATAATGGTCGAAAAATTTACTCATTCTTAGGCATACCATATGCAAGTCCTCCAATTCAAAACAATCGATTTAAAGTATGTTAAGAAGCATTTCTTAATGTTTAGAGACAATTAAAATTATATAAAGTATTATTTTTACAGGAACCGCAACCAGTACAGCCTTGGTTGGGAGTATGGAACGCCACCGTTCCTGGAAGTGCCTGTTTAGGAATAGACTTTGGATCAATTTTATCTGATACTAAATTTATTGGTCAGGAAGATTGTTTATTTCTCAACGTTTACACCCCTAAGGTAATTTACAAATACAATATGTACATTTCACTACAATCACAAGTCTTGATTTTTTTGGTGGGAAGGGGTGTAGAAGAATATCATAATTTTACTTTATTCATTATTGTTAGATGTAACTATTTTCTACATACTTCAATGACGTAATTAAATATTAGTTTGTTTACAGATAAATAATTTTATATGCGGGTGTATCTTCTTATCTAAATAAATATACTTATGTATAATTAATTTTGTACACCTGTTTAGATTGAGACTTTTAAACTTATAGATCGACTTATGTCATATTTCGACAATAGATTTGAATAATTGTCAGACGATCTTGTATCATAAGTTATAACTACTTAAAAAAAAATTATTAGTCAGGTGTTACGTCTAAATAACGCATATTTAAATCCACAAATTTCGTGTACATGTAATGTTTTATGGTACTAACTGTCCCGTCACGGCGTTGCCCGTGCATTACATAGCCATATAAAAAAACCCCCTTTTACCCCCTTATAGTTCTAATTTTGAAAAATCCTTTGAAAAAAAAAAAAATAATAATAATATTTAAAAATAATTCTCATGATTCTATACACATATTGTTTTTAAAAAATGATTCTAAAGTTCATTATTTTGATAATTAACCATGAACATTAAGAAGGTTGAGCGGAAAATTAGTTATTAATTAAAATAAACATGCAAACTGTATATCTATACCCATTACCCATACACGGCAGCTAGTGGGTGACTTAAATTTGTTCAAAATTTTGAGCGTGATTGCTTACACTATCGTGATGATTAAACACTTATCAAAAAAATCACTATACAATTTTTCATTAATCTTGCAATTGATTTCACTATGAAATGAGCACTAAGAAATTATATATTAACGGTTCAAAATCATACACAGAATGTAGATGGATGTGTTTTAAAGGATACGCTATAAACGTGATGCCTCGACTAAGGGAAATAGGGATTTATTTTTATATGCCTAGATAGATATAGAATAATATGTAGAATTTTACTTCTTGGAACAATTCATATTTACACGCCGATGAAACACGTGGTTCGACGGACAAAAAGTTATGGTTTCATGTCGCTATGGAAATCCACAGGTCGCCGTGCTGTAAAATATATATATATTATAGATATACAATTTATACATAAAAAATTTCATTTTATCGATTTCAATCATTTGAAATCAGGCAACTTGGTGACACTCAGGAAAGTATTTGGAACAATTCTGTGAAAAACATTGGAAAAAAGTTAAATAGCGTAGAAACAAAATTGGTCCATAAAAAAGTCCTGTGCTTTCATACACATAAGGTTTAACCTCTATATTTTGGTAACTGCTTGTTTTTTAATATTACCTTCTATGAATCTATATTAAATCTATTGACTTTTAAAAAACCTTGACAGTTTTTGACGAATCTAGCATGGTTTAGATGGTACCCACATACATTTATAATACATTGGAAATCTATGCTCACAAATTTCCACTATTTGTATTACAGTTATACACATACGAATTGATACAGACCCCGATAATGTGATCTTTGTTCACAATTGTGTCACTAATGCGGTGACTATTATTATTAATCTAACCTGTATATCCTAATAATATTAATTATACCCTTGACTCCAAGTACAGCTTGAGGTGTACCAACAAACATAATTATATTTATTAAACAGCTTCAACAAGAGAAGACTCCAGGTGATTTAATGAACGTAGTAGTGCACATACATGGAGGTGGATACCATTTTGGCGAAGGCATATTATATGGTCCACACTATCTTTTGGACAACAACGATTTCGTTTACGTATCGATAAATTACCGCTTGGGCGTATTAGGATTTGCTTCCACCGGCGATGGTATTTTGCCTGGAAATAACGGATTGAAAGACCAAGTAGCTGCATTGAAATGGATACAACAAAACATCGTGGCATTTGGTGGTGACCCCAACAGCGTCACCATCACCGGCATGTCTGCTGGAGCAAGTTCTGTTCATAACCATTTAGTTTCACCAATGTCTAAAGGTATGAGTAAATGTTCCCATCTACAATGTTATTTGAAACAACTAAAAATAAATTATTCTCCGTCATAATCAATACGCATACAATGTGGACAGAGCAATTTTAATTGCGTAGTATTTTTGCATTTATTATTAGTGAAATAGGTTTGTTAAATTGTTTGTCATAATTTATATTTTGTCAAAAAGTTGTTAGATTAGACCAATTTAATATGTACACTATGAAGCACTGAAAATTGTATCTTTCCCAGTAATTTATTTAGTTGAACCGTATAATTCAAGTAATTACTTGAAAATATAAATAAGATTAAGTTACCATTAATATTGGCCAAATCTAACCTGGTCTCACATATATGCAACACAGTCAATGCATCATGTTCATCAAATCACGTACTGCTTCATTGGTTCCGATATCTGAGAGAGATTTAGAATATTTTAACGTGTAATTTTGACAAAATGGCCTGTGTTTTTTGTTATTTTCATTTAGGGGAAACTTATGATTATTTTTGAAATGTTAGAGTACATATTAATATAAATTTTTAGGTTATATATATAAATATATGGTACAAAATATTTTTACATTTTAAGGATTATTTAACCGAGCAATTCTTCAAAGCGGAAGTGCTTTTTGTCATTGGTCGACTGCTGAAAACGTTGCTCAAAAAACAAAGTATATTGCAACCCTGCTAGGATGCCCAACAAATAATTCAGTAGATATCGTTGAATGTCTTCGTTCTAGACCAGCAAATGCCATAGCAAAATCATTTCTGAACTTCATGGTAAATATTTTATTGATTATTATATTATAAATGTATTTATTCTTTAGTTGTATTTTTTATAATGTAAAAAGTCATGGAAACACGTTCCTTTTGCACCGTTTGGTCCAACTGTTGAAGTAGCTGGATACGAAAAATTCTTACCCGATATTCCAGAAAAACTCATTCCACATGACATCCCAGTACTGATTAGTACTGCCCAAGATGAAGGTCTTATTTTAGCAACATATATTGAGTTAAATAATGGCTTATATGAACTTAACAATAATTGGAACGCATATTTACCACTTCTTGTTGATTATAATCACACGATTTCAAACGAGAGTCTGAGATTCAAAACTGCCCAAGATATAAAACAGTTTTACTTTGGTGACAAACCAATATCAAAAGAAACCAAAAGTAATCTTGCACAAGTAAGTTTATAGTACATATGCACCTAATATTTGAAAAATAGTTTTAAATTATTTTATATTTAATTTTTCGGAAAACGGGAGTGAGCGTTTTAAGTGAATCACACTTTATAATTGATATAATATTCAAACACATCACTGAACTATAAACATAAATAACAACAATATGTAATAACGTCAAAAATGTGACAATGTATACACTTTATTGTACTTTGAAAAATTTAAAGTCATATTTTCGAAAAATATTTGTATTTAAACATATGTTTCAAATTTTTTAATGCATAATTGCAATAAAATGCAATTGTACGAGTTTTTTACTGCATTTAATAATAACATTAATAGGTAATATCAACATTCTTCAGATGATTTCAGATAGATCATTTTTATATGGTACAAGTAAGGCAGCTCAGCACATTGCTGCAAAGAATACCGCACCTGTATATTTCTACGAATTTGGGTATAGCGGTAATTATTCTTACACAGCTTTTTTCGATCCAAAATCATATTCCCGAGGATCAAGTAAATAACATATTTTAAATACCTACGTTTGTATGTGCATTATAAATTTTTTAATTCATCGTAACTAATAAACAATTAGGCCCAACTCATGGCGATGAAACAAATTATGTTTTAAAAGTGGACGGTTTCACCGTTTACGACAATGATGAAGATAGAAAGATGATCAAAACTATGGTTAACATTTGGGCAACCTTTATTAAAACTGGGTAATTATCTGATTTTTATTATTTGACTCTCTAATCAATCATTATTATGAATATTAATGGAATCTGATAAGAGTTCCTAAACAGATTCTAGTGTAAACCCTATAGTCTGTCCAGAATGAGATCGGTACAGGCGGCTACCTACTGCGCATGGGCGTGACTTTGTTCCCTGTGCCGTTCTCTTTTTAATAGACTATAAAAACGTTTAAAAAAAAAAAAGCTTCCACATTATATACAATAAATATTTTGTATTTTTTTTATATATTCTAGGATCTATCAAATAGTGATTATAATTTTTTTATTTTTATTTTTTTAGAGTACCAGATACTGAAAATTCAGAAATTTGGTTACCTGTTTCTAAGAACCCAGCAGATCTTTTCAGGTTCACTAAGATTACTCAACAACAAACATTTGAAGCCAGAGAACAATCAAACCATGGCAATTATGAATTTTGGAGTAG